AATAATAAATTCGTCCATCGGTATACGATCGAGCTCCCTTTTTTTGATAGCATTATTTTATGTAATTTTTTCCAGCTCTGTTTCAGTGCAGGCAGCGTTTCGAAATCAGAACCTGTGTTCTGTTATGAACTGTTTTCCGCTTTTTTTCTTGAAAGACCCCTACTAAATACTGCCCATATCCTGTGCGACGTCATTATTGACGAAAAGGTTGGTGACATGGCTTAATCATGTTACTCTGCCCTAACGAGGCCCAAAAAGGACAATTCTTTTTTTCTTGTCATATCTGCAGCTTTGCCATATCGATGAACACGAACTAATAACTCCATTCCTCCTCCACAGCTCTCCCAACTTCATCATCTGCTGCTGTTGCTGTTACTGTATGTCATACGCTGTGTACGGTCGGCAGCAGACCTACACAATTTCGCGCCACTGACAAACTCAAAAGCAGCATTTCATTACTTCCAACCGCTTTTCAGCACTTCACTCAAATTAAGAGTAGCCCAGGCTGAAACGCACCAGGCGGACCGGTGCGATTATACGTTTTTGTACTTTTCGTGCTATAGCAAAATCGTAAGGAATCGCAGTAGTTAGCCCTATGACATACTGGCCCTCGAAGTTCGGGAAATTAATTGTGCAACTATGTGGTATGTCAGTTGTAGATGTCAACTTCAGTGACCCGGCAAATGGAAAGTTGTTGGTCTACAAAAAAGGCCGCACCAGAAGAGTTAGACTTGTTATCTTTTAGTCATCATGACCAGGGAACATTCCCTTAAAATTAAAGTCTTTCAGCTTTTCTCCTTCCTGAGTTAGCAGTTTTGCCCATCAAAATTTTCACATGTCCGTACGCGAGCGCCGGGCGGTTTTAAGGGCTGGATTTGAAATCTTTTGGACATACATGAGTAGGGAATATTACCCCAAAGTTTCCGCTTCCTAGCTTTTTTCGTGCCCGGGTTAGTGATTTCCGCGCCAAAATTTCCACAGCTCTGGGCGCTTCCAAACACCTGACTTTGCTCGTAAATGAGTAGGAAACATTCCCCTAAAGATCCAACTTTTTAGCTTTTTTCGCTCCCGGACTAGTGATTCTCGCGCCAAAATCTCCACGTACCCATACGTGAGCCCCGGGTGCATTTAAACATCCGGTTTTGCTAGTACATGAGTAGGAAACATTCCCCAAAAGTTTCAGCTTCCTAGTTTTTCCCGTTCTCGGGTAATTCCCGCGTCAAAATTTCCACGCGCTCGTATATAGTCCCAGTCGCTTGTAAAAACCTGGTTTTGCTCGTATATTAGTAGGGGACATTCCCCCAAAGTTTCCGCTTTCTAGCTTTTTTCGCACTCGCACTAGTGATTTCCGCGCCAAAACTCTCACGTGCCCGCACGTGAGCCCCTGGCGCTTCTAAACACCTGATTTTGCTCGTACATCAGTAAGGAACATTCCCGCAAAATTTCAGCTTTCTAGCTTTTTTCGTTCCCGGATTGGTAATTTCCGCGTCAAAATTTTCACGTGCCTGTACGTCAACCACGGACGGTCCTAAGAAACCGAGTTTGAAAGGTTTCGGTCGCACGTAAGTAGGGAACATTCCCCAAACTTTCAAGTTTCTAGCTTCCCTCATTCCCGACTTACGAATTTCCCGGCCATAATTTCACCTGGTAAGCTGGGCTCAGGCGTGCGTGAGAGTTCATACCGCGACCCTGGGTTGGCACTTGGCTGGGGAACACACTGGCAAAATTTCAGCTTCAAAGCTTGCGTGGTTGGCGAGTTGAAATACCCGGACAGACGAACACATATATACACATACACATACATACATACAAACATACATACATACACACACACACACAAGACCGTTGCAATACGCGTTTTTGCTGTCTGTTGCAGCACTCTAGCTCTGCTCGGCAAAAACGCGTAAAAATCCAAATGCCGGTAGGTTGAGCAGGGAAATAAGAGGGAGAAAACATGATTAAGACTTGTTTTGATTATGAGAAAATATTTCTTGCGTAGTAGACGAACGTGCCCTGCCACGTAAGACGCAAGTTATAATCTTGTGCTTTAGGGGTATCCTCACTCTCAGGGGCTGCGCTGCGATGTTCATCACTCATTTGAGGTTAATCATAGCCCTAACCCGCCATCCTATTCTGCATTGTTGCGCTTGCCTTACGCGACACTTCTCTTTCATCATCACATAGTACAGGTAGGACGCAAGCACGATTTCACAGCAAGATATGTTTCTTATGCTGATTGAATTATTTGAAGTGCAGCCTGACAGACGGTGCGACTACAGCTCCGGCAGTGGGATGTACGACTTCAGTGACCCGATAAATCCCTGTACAAGATGGAATTCCTTCAGACTAACCGTCTGATATTGGCACCTAATCAAAAGCACTTATCACCAACTTGAATGGTGGACTGTCACTCGAATGACAGAACAGAGGATGGCCAGGAATACGCGAGGAGCTAACTTGCACCCATAATCAAAAAACAGCGTAAAGCACCGAACTGAGGATTATGAGTAAGACATAATTTAATCGTGAGAATCTGAGTGTTCTACATGCATTTGGACATTTCCAAATCTCTTTGGGTCCCAACAATAAGCACTGTATCTCTGGCTCTTTTGGAGGGAGTGGTACGTAAATTACCCCGAATTGCTTCGTGGCTTCGAGTCATTTGTCCGGCACCGTAACAACTTCCAGTCCGCTCGTAACGGCGATAACAATGCAAATGTATTTTTGAAGCAAAATCGATTTTAAAAAACGAGTAACTTACAATAACATGATTATTATAATGAATATAAGCGATGAAAGTGGAAAAATTTCACAAATAAACCTTCGTGCAAAATATATTAGCAAAGAAAGCAAAGAAGCAGGGATATGAAGTTCCCCATACAGACGCATGATAGGGAGATGTTGATTGTAGGACAACACATCCACAACCACATCCAGATGCTCTATATTATGCAAACGACAAAGTAGCGAAAGTGGCAAGGAAGCAAAGAAACTTGAAGGCTGCATTAAAACGACCTCTTTTCATACATGCTGGAAAGCATCCTTAGCAATTTAACCTTCACGTACTACTTTCTTCTGCGGTTGCTGACAGGCTCCATTAGAAGAGCGCCCAATCTTACTGTAGGCTTGGCACTACTAGGCATTAACTTTTGCTTCTGGAAGCAACTGCTAGAGCGGAGTGAATGGACACCTTTTCGCTCCTTTCCTCGTCCTTCCTCCACCCCGGTCTGCCTTGAATGTCAATGGAGATTCTCACTGCTGCAGACCGCGAATATGAAGACACCCCAAACTGCGGCCGAGGCGCTGATCACAGCTCACACAACACAACCATCACGTTTAAGACAAATACGCCGAGTTGCATGTGAAGCCGCGAGTGCACCAGCCCGCCCTATCCTCCCTCTTCCCAATATAAAAAGCACCGACACTCAGCAAAACGGAATGCAACGCACAATGAGAAACCGTACAACCGACCAACTTACAGTATCAGAATGCTGACGTGTCAAGTTCGAGCCTCTCCGTACGAAGTCAAGCGCAGCGGAAACTCCCACTAGCCCGACGTTCCAATATCAATAGCAAAGCAACAGTAACAGCAGTATATATAAAGCAATAAAACTTGGTTAGCGGGAACTCGTCAAATGACAAGCGCGCCCCGTACAATGCCTTATTTTCAAGCATCCATGCGCGCACCACACACACCACCACCTCCCCAGACTTCCATGAGACATTACGATACGTGCTGTTCGGAAAGCGGAAATCTGGGGAAGACTTTTATGAAAGTATTGGTTTACTCATGAACGATGCCATTTTCCCACGACCACTTTCAGAACTTCTCAGGGCCGACGAGCAACTACGACCGACAAAAAAGCAAGTCGATTTAGCTTTCCAGAAAGGGGATGGCAACAGAAGCAGCGACCCTCTCACTGGCAAGCATCAACGCTAACAAAATAAGATTCACGGGTAAAATTTCTGATAAGAAAAGCTGACGTATGCACAGAAAAGGCAGGAGAAAGGAGAGCGAGAAAGAGAACGAACGAACGCACTGAAAAGCAAATGTGGGCACAGTAGCCTTGAATAAATCAAAATGATATTGGGATGCAAAGTCCGCACAGACACACGCCTGGAAAGTGTCAGGGGGTGGAAGAAGACTGGAGCATCCCAACGAGGACAGAAGACACCAATGTCGTGGAAGGACCGTTAATTTCCAATGGCCGGTTGTTGGAGACCAGCTGTGTTTCTCGACCTTCATGCTCAAAGCTGTACGAAGATAGATTAAGCTCAAGCTCCCCCATCCTGACGGCCGGCAGCGTATTCCAGCCAAGACAAGCCAAGAGAAGCACTACACGACACATACAAGGACTCGCGCAAAAACGTTTGATATGGAATGATCTGTTGTGTGAACAGCCGAAAAAAACACAACATACCTGTTAATTTCTTCCATAAAATACCACAAAAAAGAAAACAGCACACGCCTTATCAAGCCCCACTCAACAGCCTAGACAAGGCAGCGGACACCGTACTCATACCGTGGTGCACAGGACTATACAACTGCTCCGGGACTAGATGAGTTTTCTTTTTTTGAGGCAAGCACGCCTTTTCCAGGCCTTTACATGAGAACGCTTTTACTGCCGCACCTAAGCTGGAACAGGCGCATGAGGTGACAAAGTACAGCAACAGAAACACACCAATACAGGCTGCTGATCACCGCTTACATTTTTGATGGAGGCATGAGTGAGTACGCCATTGCTACATCCACATATATACAAAAGCAGTGTGCGGTGACTAAATATCATTTAAATACCGTTAAATAATGGGAGTATTAATGAAGTTTATGGCGCGAGTGGAGAAAGGAAGGGCAAATGACAAGGAGAGAAGAGGAAAAGAGGACTGAAGGAGAACGTGACGACGAGCCAGCGAAACAAATGAGCACTGCACAAAAACCATTACAGCAATTTTAGGAAGGGAATCAGCTGGACTCGGCTCCATCGAACAAACGCATAAACTCAATTCGATTTCTCGTGACTTGCATCGCCTGCCGCCGCACCAACCGATTTCTTCAGGAATGGTGGTACTTTGTCGTTGATTCTAAATTAATACTTAACTAGACCTGGCCAAGTAACATCATATATTCATGAAAGATTCAGAAAAATTTTCAAGGAACTATCAGCATTACCTCCTTACTGGCACTTCCTCGCTTTCCCATGTTTAGAGAAGCCGACTGCAAGATCATGAACACTGAAGGAACAGCACTGAGTGCTCGCTTTTCTATTAACTTCATGATTAACAGTGTTCTTAACACCAGGTCTCGAGCCAAAAAACAAAAAAAAAAACTATAATTATTAATACAGCACTTGTTTTCAACAGCAACGTGATACGCAAGGGCTTACACTAAACAGTGAATCACTGATCCCGACTTACGACACCATAAGGATGTCATATCTGCCTGTCGACGCGTCCCGCCGCCAGCATTCACTAAGCCAAAGCGCCCCAATAAATGACGAACAGATGCTGCTGGCATGCAATAACCCACAACACGGGATAAAAACTCGGCAAAGAAAAGAAGAGACAAATATTTGGTAAGTCGGTTTGGTCACAGTGTAAGCACTGTACACTGCCCTCTACCAGCTGACCATGGAATGAAAACAAACTCACTTCTTGGTCACATTATCGACATGCTGCTTGGCAACGGAGACATTGCGATCAATCGGCTCTTGGTACACCTCGTATACTTTCGGGACTGTGAATACCGTCAAAACAACTAAAATGCAATTCGTCTATAAGGCTATGCATTAACACAACTTAGTTCGAGGAATTTCAGAATGCCGCATCTAGACAAAGCCAAATTATGATACTTCGCAAATCACCCCCCCCCCC